GTTGGGTGGGCTTAGGGGAAGGAGCTTGGTGCCCGTCCCCAGCCTCGTGTCCCTGCAGCCTGCCTTCCAGGCCCTGACTCGTGCCCCATTTTTCTGCCCTTCTCTGCTGTGAGCCTGAGTCAAGAGGAGCCAGCTAGCCCATTGAGACCAGCTGCCTCCAAAAGCCACCAGGGACTCCAGCTTTGTGGCCAAGGGCAAGGCGGTCAGCATCCTGCTGATAGAACTTAATAGGCATGAATGTATTTGAGAGTTGGAAGTTCTGTGAATTTGCTTGGGACGTAAAAGTGCATGAGAAGCAGAGAGCATCCCTGTAGTCCCGGAGTGCCATCTGCTTTCCTTGCACTGGGGTCTCAGTGCCTGGCCTGTTCCCAGTTTCCTCTCTGATGAGTAGGATAAGTGGTTTCTTGGCTCTCAAACAGCCTCCTCACCAAGGGTGGAGCCTATGTAGAAAAGTCCTCCATGCAGTCCTGTCCAGCCTCCCCCACTACCCATATACAAGTAGATGAGCAGGGAGAAGGGGCCTGGGGCCAATGTGTGTGCTCAAAGAAGCATGGCATCGTGTCATGTATGTGCTGCTTTTGCCCTGGCTGTTCCAGGGCCGCAGGACACGTTTCAACCAGGGTAGGCGACAGAACAGCCTTTAGGTTTCTTTAAACAGAAAACCTCTGGTCTGGGGGCCGCTGGTCATGTTGCCTTTCAGTTGTCATTCCATTGTCCCCAGGCCTCCCAACCAGGCTACAAGAAGTGCTGTTGAGAAATGAAGCTGTTTTTCCCAGTTCTTCCTTACGACCAGAAAATGGCAGCCAGCTGGCTTAGGGGCCCGTTGAGAAGGGCAGGACCAGAGCTGTGGGGCAGAGTTGTGTTTAAAGGCAGATAGAGGTCGTCATAGGAGGGCAGGCCACACCTGCCTCCTGTGACCTTGGCCCTGGCAGGCAGGTTCATCCAGTTAGCCCTAGAAATCTGGTTACTGTGACCCTTTATCCCAAATCAGGCTTAAGTCAGAAGACTGCAGGAGGAGGGTCATGGAGGCCCTGTCCTGGAGCTGGGCTGCTGGGACATGGTGAGGAGCCACAGGGGCAGGCCCAGGGCTCTGGCAGAAGGCAGTTTCTGAGCTCTCCTGCAACACCTGCCCGGCTGACCAGGTCTTCATGACCACCTTCCTCTTTTGCTCTTCCTTGACTCAATTCTGGCACATGAAGTGCAGGCTTGTGGGTCCACATACCACATATGCTGCAGCACATACATGGTGATGTGTCTGTGTCCATCTAGACCTTTGTGGCCTGGCTGAGTGTGTGTGCATGTGTGTAACGTAGTCTGTAGTTGGCAATAACCTGTATATAACGTCTGACATTTGTATGTGAGTGCACAATTAGTGCCTGTGGCAGTTTTCTGTATTTTAAATTTGTTGCATCAAATTAGTTTTATTTTAGGGAAGGAGGGAAAGAGTGGGGGAGCTTAGGAAGGACTCCTAGCAAGATCATTCTTTAGAACTGTTAGTAGCAATTTCCCAATAAGCCTTCATGATGCCCTTTTCAAATAAATGTTAATGT